TGTAGGATGGGTTACAGGGCTGTTTGAAGTCAGTCTGATGTTGTCCATTAGCATTTCTGTTAAACAGGAAGGAAAAAAAAAGGTAAGCAGCTAATTCTACCATTTTGTATTTATTTATTTTTTTACTGCTAAATATAATTTTGTCTGGAGAAGTCCAGTAACATCGGAAAATTAACTTGAAACCACTTCACATGAGTTGAACAAAAAATGGCAAAGCAGAGCAGGGAGTGTTCTTGTATTTTACCACTTGGTGGGGATATAATCTCTCTTATCCATGTTTAGTCAAAGTGAATGACAAGTGCAGTGAATCACAGCAGAGGGCAAAATGTAACATTTTAGCTTCTGCTGTAAAGTACCAGCTAGCTGACTGATCCTTGCCAAATGGCCAGCTGGTTGGAAAGCATGTTTGTCTATGCAGAGTGATGAATTGGACACTTGACTTTGAGCCAGGGTACCACTCAGTCCTCATCACCCATTCCAAACAGGCTTTCCCGGAGTACAAGTTTATCTCCTTCTCTTTCCACTATTTACTAAGAGCAATTTTTCTGTTGTAGGTAAAAAAAAAAATAAACAACCCTAATAGTGGTTGTTTCCCTCCAAATGTAAGAAAGATTGGGGAAGTGGTAACAAGATGGTAGGCTTATAAGAGTGATGATAGGAGAAGAGCATTAAAAGTTGGCATTTGGGATTGGAAGTCTCTGCTGATCTCCTGTGCAGTTGATTCCTTGGATCAATAAGAAAAAAATCCTTGGAATAGGTTGGTGTACCACAATCCACTTTTTCCTGTAATTGTTATCAATGGTGGTTGCAGAAAGGATATAAAAGGGCAGAAGAGGTTCTGTTTATTTATTTTTATAGTAATACTGTTTTGGTGGAAGGGAATAGGGAGGTAAAGGGGAACTACACTCATCTGAGCATCTAAAACCAAAAATGCTAGTTAATTTCTAATATTCAAAGCAAACTCTCCCATCCATCCATGTCCCAATGCTTTTATTTTGCTGAGAAATCACTTTTAAATACACCTCCTTAGCATGTCTGGCCATGGCCATCGTGAATAAGGGCAGATGATTCCTGTAGCATTGACTTCCTGGAACCCATCTACCCTTAGTTCAGGCATACAAGCAGGAGGGTGTGCTAAGCTGAGAAGACCCTTTCTCCCCTCCAGAAGACTCCTGAGATGTATGACCTCTGCCTAGGCAACAAACCAGGAAGTAACTAAATATGATCTACTTTCCTATCTATTTCCTGATGCTAAGAGAAACAAGAAAGACTAGGAACAGTGGTATTAGAGTGTTTCTAAAGGTGAAATGTGTTTTTTGTTTTTTTTTTTTAAATAGTTTTTTACCTTTTTTAATGCATTACCTGCATTAAGGTAAAAAAACATTTCAGCATTTGTAGTGTGCCCCCCTAAACACCGGAGTCCTGTATCAATCTAGAGCTGTGCCTGGCTGCATCTAGCCTATCCTCGCTCACAGGTTTTGCTCAGAACAGTGGGGGCCATTGGCTCCTGCTGCTGTCAGTCATATCTTGTAAGATGAGAGGGGGGTCTGAGGCTGAGACTCCCTGTGTGTGTTGCCTATGTTGCCTATGGACACATACGGCCCCGTTCAGGAATGAGCTTTCACAAGTGCCCCCATAGCTAGCAGTTTGCTATTGGGGCACTCGGAGAACAGGAGGAGTAGAGAGCGCCAGCGGGGGACCCCAGAAGAGGAGCAATGAGGCTGCTCTGTGCAATACCTTTGCACAGAGCAGGTAAGTATAATGTGTTTATTATTTCAATTGACATTTTGTCTTTTAAAACCGCTCTAAGTGAATCAATTCATGTGAGTCAGACCTTGCAGCTGATGCGGACATCTATATTTTAAGGCAGTATTATATTTAGGTTTTGTGCTGCCCTAAGCAACACAAAAATCATCTGCCCTCACGGACACTGACCAATACAACCCCCTTCCCACTTCCACGGAGAAAGCCTGATATTGACCAACACCACCCCTGCCCCCCCACCTGGGAGAGCTTTCCACTACCCTCCCCTCCCCCCGGAGATAGGGAGACACTCATATTCACAGCTCCAGACATCCCCATGAATGTGCCCGCAGCCTCTCTCAGATCCCACCTGGTTCCCATGGTGCGCGTCTCTTCTTTCATCCCTTCTTCTGGGGGGAGGTGCTGCTCCCCTGAAAAATGCCACCCTAGGCAAGTGCCTTGTAAATATGTTACGGTCAATACTTGTGGTTTAGTAGAGATCTACGCTATCATGATTAGCATAGTGACCACTGTTACCCTCTTGAATTGAAGGAACTTGAAGAATGCAATGGTTGTGCTGTGGTGTGTCCTTTTGTAGCTACAGAACTCTGGGCAAAAACACCAGTTGAATTTTAACATAAAATTAATGGAAAAACTTTTTTTCATTTTGGATAGAGTAAGAGAGGGCTATAATAACTGTCAAGTTTTATTTTATGCCATCTGTGTCCCACTGGGGAGATTTTCCTTCAGTTTCCATCCCATAGAACTAACTAGAAGGAAAAGGTGAGTATTCCCTTCATTATTAAGTGTTTCTACAGCTTTGCCTCTGTTGGGGGATGCCAGATGTTGATCTAAAGGCATCTTGCCTCAATCAAATGTTTGTCACCAGAACCCATTGGCAGATGAATTGGTAGCTCCATGGGATTAGTACACTCTAATCTATGCCTGCATCACCACTAAAGCTCTTGCCTTATATTTTTGGTAAGATCAAGTTGAAGGGCATCCCAGCTTTCCTTGTGGCACCCAATTGGCTGGTGGACCTGGCGCCCACACATAATTTGGCCGCTATTGTTTTAGCATGACCTTCAGTATCAAAATCTATCTTGCATCATCTGCAAGATCTGTCAGAATCTGTCTTCTCCATGAAGCCCAGAGCTCACAACTCAGTTTCTTCAAAAATACGTTGCATGTTGAGAAGATATTTTGTGTTGTGAATCCCAGGTGGCTGATCCTCAAGACTATTTTCAGTGGTCAGAATTATGACATTTCCCCAACAAAGTTGTGACGGGAGTCACTTTGGGTGGGGGGCCCATGGAACACAGCCCCTTTAGAGAGGTGGAGAGACCCCTGTCTCAGCTCCCCATATCCTTCTTATGTGTAAGTCACCCTGTGCCTGTTAGGGGCACAGGGTGGATTGTCCTGCTATTGTGTAGACATGTATAGGTGGGGGTTGTGCATTGTTCACTGACATTTGGCTGTATCCCATTGTTCTACTGTGTGTCTGGCTTGGGAGCAAACTATTATGGGATGTATGTGTTTGTGCATTGGCTTGGTGGGGGGGGGGTGTTTCCGGCAGCCCTTCCCCCGATGGGACTGCCTGCTGATGTGTTTCCTGTTACTGAGTGTGTATTTCCCCGCCCTGTGTATATATCTTGTATCTATGTTAAAATAAAGCAGTCTATCTCCTGGCATCCTTCAAGTCTGGTGCTGTCTCCTCTTGTATGGTCAGCGGTGATGTCCGTGGATCTGTGTTTGGACAGGGAAGCGGGAGTCTAATGGAAATACCCTAGTGCAGTTGGGGGGTCCGTTACAAAAGTGTTGACCGTATTTAGCTCTGAGCACAATTAAAGTGAAACTGAACTTAAGTAATTAAAAAACTGTGAGCTGGCAGCTCTTTATTGCAGAAGAGGCATACTATGCCTATTGTGCAATAACAAACACTTACTTGTCTGCTTGCAGTCTTCTATTTAATGTGTACAGTTCAATGTGCATTCTTGGCATACTTTGGCTGCGATGGCATTACTGACTCCAATGTTCAGGATGACGTCATTCCCCTAGCAGCCAATCGGGAAGCCAAAAACCTGGCACCTGGATATGGCCGGAGGGAAGATGAAAGCGGACGGTGGGAGATGAAACTGTTGCATTGTTGGAAGCCAGAGGTAAGCATTTCTGCGACTTTTAGTTTTTCTTTCAGGTGAGGTTTCTTCTGCTCTGCCAGTGCTGCTTCAGCATTCCATTCCCATACATTATTTCAGGTATTCATGCATGTTGCCCCCTCTTGTGCTGTGGGACCTGAATTTGGTTCTCTCAGTCTTGCAGATATCACCTCTTGAGAAACTCTCTCTCAGAAGGTAGCCTTTTTGGTAATCACTAAGAGTCACAAAGTTGCTGACTATCCTGTAAACCTCCCTTTCATGCATTACACAGGGTTAAGGTGGTTTTCAAGCCAATACAGTCCTTTCTGCCAAAGATGGTGTCCTCTTTCCACCTTAACCACTTGCCTACCGGGCACTTATACCCCCTTCTTTACCAGGCCAATTTTCAGCTTTCAGCACTGTCGCACTTTGACAATTGCGCGGTTATGCAAGATTGTACCCATATGACATTTTTTTCATTTTTTTTTCACAAATAGAGCTTTCTTTTGGTGGTATTTACTTGTCGCTGGGTGTTTTACTTTTTCCGCTATAAACAAAAAAATTGCAAAAAATGTGAAAAAAAAAAAAAGTTTCTTTGTTTCTATTATAAAATTTGCAAACAGGTAATTTTTCTCCACTGATGTGCGTTGATTGGCACCGATAGGCAGCACTGATGGGCACTGATAGGCAGCACTGATAGGCAGCACTAATGAGGTGGCACAGATAGGCGGCACTGATAGGCAGCACTGATGGGCACTGATAGGCAGCACTGATAGGCAGCACTAATGAGGTGGCACAGATAGGCGGCACTGATAGGCAGCACTAATGAGGTGGCACGGATAGGTGGCACTGATAGGCGGTACTGATGATGGGTACTGATAGAAAGCACTGATAGGTGGCACTGACTGGCATCACTGCTGGGCACTGACTGACTGCACTGTTAGGCACTGACTGGCGCAACTGCTGGGCACTGACTGGCGCAACTGCTGGGCACTGACTGGCACAACCACTGGGCACTGACTGGCAGCATTGCTGGGCTGCACTGGTGGGTGGTGGCACTAGTGGGCACAGGTGGGTGGCACTGCTGGTCACAGGTAGGTGGCACTTCTGGATTGCACTGCTGGACACAGGTGTGTGGCACTGCTTGGTGGCACAGGTGGTTGCACTGCTGGGTTGCACTGCTGGGCACAGGTGGGTGCACTGCTGGGCACAAGTGGGTGGAACTGGTGGGTGGCACTGCTGGGCACCGATCATCAGGGCACTGATCATCAGTGCCCTAATGAACGGTGCCGATCCCCGCTCTGACAACAGCCGGTTCTCGGCAGTACTTTCCTCACGATCTGACAACGTGAGGAAAGTGCAGCCGAGAACCGGCAATTGCATTTCCCTGTGATCAGTGTGTCATTGAACACGGCTGATCATGTGATAAAAGGCCGCTGTGATTGGCCTTTTACCACATCACGTGATCAGCTGTGTCCTTAAGACACAACGATCACGGAGATCGCTGGGGGCGCACAGGAAAGAGCATTCTGGGGGAGGACGTCATATGACGCTCTCCCAGAAATGGCCGGCCGCAGTGTAGCCGTCATTCGGCTATCTGCGGTCAGCAACTGAGGACATTGTTTTGTCTGTTCCCTGTCCATCCTAAGATTGTTCCCCATATTTGGATGTGATTAGAAGCTCCAGAGTTTACTTGACTATTATGGATCCTTAAAGAAAATAAGATTCCATCTTCACTTTTGTAGATAGCCCTCACAAGGGCTGAGTGGAGTCTGCAACGATTTTTAGGTAGATTAGAGAGACTAAGCATGAGGAACCTCCTTTTCCTATTACAGCTTACCCTGTGCATACAGTAAGCATGTCCTAGGCTTTTGGCCTCAAGTCTGTAATGCAGCTACCTGGTCTTTTCCTTCATACTTTTTACCAAGTTTAACAAAGCTGATATGGCAGCATATTTGCTACTTTTGGCCACAGAGTTTTTCAGGCACCAACTTAAGCATTCATGCTTTGGGGTAAAGATCGTAGAATTGTTTTGCACACCCTTCAATTAGCACTGCTTGTGGAAGTTCCACTGGTTGTGATCTAATGATCAGCGCTGTGTCCTTTAAAGAATGGTAGAGAAAGTAGGATTTTTGTGCTTGACCTAAAATCATTTGTTCATTAAAGGACATACTTCTGTCCTTCTGGTTGTGCTGCACCAGTTGCCCATAGTTGAATTTTTGCTCTCTTTGTTCAGGTTGCTACTGAATTATGGTCACCAGCAGGAGCTTCACTTTGGGGGTCTTATTTTTGTTTTATGTACCTAGCATGTGACTCCTGTTAGTGGCTCTAACCCACTGATGACAATAGAACAGGTCTGGATCTAGCCTATCTGACCTGGGGGTGCAGTAAAAAGGCCAGGGGGCATAATGTCAATAGTGTGACAGAAATGCATGAAACCAGTATTCCCTGTTCACTTGGCATGCTTCTGTACCATGGAGTTACAACCCGGAAGTAACCTCTAACAGGTAGTGCAGAGGCAGTGCAGGAGTGTACGGAGAGCACTAGTATGTATTAGTATGATTAAACAGAACCTGTGCCCCCTTATATCAGGTGTTCCTATCAGAGTCCCTCCTTACATCAAGAGTCCTCCACAGAGTTCCTCCTTACATCAGACTTCCTATAAGAGTCCCCCCTTATATCCTGTGTCCCCAGTAGAGTGCCCCTTACATACAATGTCCCCACCAGAGTGCCCCCTTGCATAAATTGCCCTCCTCAGAGTGCCCCTTACAACAGTTACCTCAAAGTGCTTCCTTACATCAACTGTCCCCATCAGAGTACCCCCTTACATCAACTGTCCCCAATAGAGTATCCCCCTTACATCAATTGTGCCTATCAAGTCTCATGGATCAGTTGAATGCACTCTCAGAAATCTGGGGGGGGCACAACTAAAATCTGGGGGTGCAGCCCACCTCAGCACCCCCCTAGATCCAGGCCTGCAATAGAATGATCTGTGCTGTGTCCTTTAATGAATGCAGAGTAAAGGATTTTATGGCAAGCACATACAATATATTATGTTGCGTGATTACTCTCATATTATTCCCTTGCCAGAGAACAGATGATTGATTTAAAGAACTTTGGCACCAAATGTTAATTTTTAAATATGCAAAGTTGCTATGAGGGGCTAAAGAACACCCTGGGAATCCCAAACAATAATTTCTCTCTGCATTACCCCTGAAATATAATAAGAAACTATTTAGAGTTGCTCCTGTGGGGCTACAATTCTATTGGCCATACAGGTCATGTGGTGAAAGCTACAAACCGCAACTCTTTAGGATTATCCTGCTAATATCTCGCCTTCTGAGCAGAGAGGAGGACAGTAGTAAGATTGATACAGGGATGTCTCAAAGCCAAATGTAGGGATTTACAATAGTTGTATTTAAAATATTTTTAAATAAATACATAGCTGCTTTCATTGGTGTTTTTAATACCTGCAGGGTGTTCAGATTTCAATATAGCTATTTGGAAATGGACATTGCAAATATTCCAAATCTCCATTCCAAACTTGTTATCACGTTTTACCTCTTCTCTCTGTTAAGAGTAAGTGTGTGTGTGTTCCCTTGTATTTTCATCCTTTCAGCCCACTATTTGTGAACTACAGATGGATGGTACCAAGGCTGTCTTCTTAAGGAGGGGCAAAAGGGGCAGCTGCCCTGTGTCCAGTCATTGCTGTGGGACCCAAAGCAGTTGCCTCATACATGCCAACGTTGCCCGTTTATATTCCCTTGTCCCTTGAAGTCTTCGTCCTGCTCTATGTCCTGATATCTCATTGTGAACTGCTGTCACTTGTGCCGGCCAGGTCTGCCCTGTTGCCATGTACAGATGATTCACAGGTGCAGACTGTGTCAGCCATCACATGTAAATACCCAAATAACCAGAAGACATATGTAAATAGCAGCAGCATTCAAATGGAAATAAGGGCTGCAATGTGGCATTCATATGTAAATGGCGGCAGCAGTCATATGTATATTATGCACCCCCCAAGGTTCCAGCCACCATCCCCTCTGCTGAATGCTACCCACTGGGGAGGAAAGGGACATACTTGAAAGTCCTGCCTGCAACTGTGGTCACTGAGCCTACCATGAACCTATTCTACAAATGTAAGCAAAGTTGGGAGGGTGGGAGTGTGCAAGTAAGTAGAAAAGGAACTACAGTGTGGGGTGCACAGGTGAGCAAAGAGAAGGATGTACAGTAGTAAGGAAGGCTGGTGCAAAGATGAGCAGTGGTGGCGTATGGACTTAAGGTGTGTGTGTGTGGGGGGGGTTTGGGGTACAGAGGTTTTAGGATGTAAAGGTGTACTGACGGGGGTGGATAAAGGTGTAGGTCACGTGTAGGGCAGCCCATTCATTTCAATGGGCTGCTCTATGTGCTTGAAATAAGGAAAAGTCCCTGACCCTTTTTCAAAATGTCACCGAGCCACACAGTGCTACAGCACAGTGAATTGTGGTGCGTGTGAAAATTGTGCAGGTCGGCATATGTGTGAGGGTGTCATTAACAATTAATGTCACTGCTGTGTACCCGCTAAAGGGCATCACATTTCTGTGGTGTCAGGAAAGTTATTTTGTACTCGTTCCCAACATAGTGAACATAGGCTATATATCTCTATTACATCGGTGGTCCGTGTATATATTATCATTACATTGGGGCATGGCGTAGAATCCTTTCATTCACACTAGTTGTCAGTGTGAATGTTCCTCTTACGTTGGTGGTCAAAATAAATCGCCCCTTCCATTAGTGGCCAGTGTCAAATCCTCCCTTACAATGGTGGTCCATGTAGAAGTCCCCTCAAATTGGTGGTCAGTGTAAATTCCCTCTTACATGGCTGGCTAGTATAGAAAATGTAATGGTTGTTGGTATAAAATTCCCCATTACATTGATTGTCAGTGCAAATTCTACATTACAATGGTGGTCAGTGTAAATTTCTCTTTACATTGATGGTAAGTGCAGAATTGCCCTTACACTGGTGGGCTTTGTAAATCCCCCTTTACATTGCTCATCCGTGTAAATTCCCATTAATATTACCCCCTAACATTGGTGGTCAGTGTAGCAATGTCACCTCCCATCCAGCACTGCCACTGATCCTATCCACCCTAAGCACTCCTACTGATCCCATCCCCCCCACCAGCAATGCCACTCATCCCATCCCCCCCAGCACTGTCACTTATTCCATCACCCCAGCACAGACACTAATCACACCCTCGACCCCCCCCCCCCCCCGCACTGCCACTGATCCCAGGAGTCCTAGCATCCCTTGGATTTTTCTGTCTATGGGTGGATCCCCTCACCTTCTCAGTCCATGGTGTGCAGGCAGTGAGGAGATAATGTGCTGTAGCCTTCAGCAACCAATCAGTGAGCAATAATGATGTGCAGTAACCTCTAGCAGCCAATCCGTGAATGGTAAGGATGTGCAGTAACTTCTAGCAACCAGTGAGCAGAAATGATGTGCAGTAGCCTCCTAGCAACCAGTCAGTAAGTGGTAATGATATGCTGTAACCTTTGGCAACCAACCACAATCACTGTCTGATCTGCTGCAGTAAACTGATTGAGTCTAGCTGCTATTGTATGTCTCAGAGCAGGTGGAGAGTGAAATTGCTTGGGACGGGGGGTCATGAAAATGTTTGCCCAGGGTCCAATCAATATTACAGATGGCCCTGGATAGTACAACTGTTTAGTTTAAGCTTCATGGGTTTTTTTTTCATAATCCTGAAATTTTTTTTGACTGTTTTAGTTGTATACATAGTGAGTTATGAGTATTGAGATCAGGCAGGGGATAGAATAGCCTTAAATACCAACATTCAACCTGATGCGTGTGCTAAAACAGAGAATACAAGGAAAGAAAAATAAATTTCTCCGAGCGGTAAAGCTGTTATTTTAACAGGAAGAGAGTGCAAGGAAATCTCTGAGCGGCAAGACTGTAATATTACTGAGGAGTGAAAATTTGGATAATTACAAAAGCCAATTGGTGATGGATTCTCTTAAAAAAACAGATTAATCTATGGGCTGCCTAAGCGCATATGAGGTTTAACTGCTTGCCGACCCACCGCAGTACATTTACACAACCACTTAACTGTTCGTCTAAATCAGTTTTCAAGTTGGGGGTGTGCACACGAGCCACCACCTCCCTCTGTGATTTGACACAGCTGGAGTTTGTCAGCAGATCCCGGCCAATGATACATGGCCAGGACCTGCTGATCGGTTGTGTCTAATCACCACCCAGTGCCGTGTTGACAAACAATGCAAGGCTCTGTACGGAGACTACGGTTGCTTTGTTTCTTTTCCCTGCGCAGCAGGGAAAAGAAACAAATCGATCTGCAATAAAAATCTGCACATATTACACACATTAACACTTGTTAGGCACACACTTAACCCCTTGATTACCCTAACATGTTAACCCTTTCCCAGCCAGTGTCACTAGTGCAGTGACAGTGTATATT